TTGCGGTGTTTACCGGGCTGCCCTGTGCGGGGCCCCGTGCTGGCAGGAGACCGGTACGCGGCCTCGCGTGTCGTGGGTTTTCATTTAAAACTAGAGCAAAGCAATTGTAGCCGGGAGGGTGAGGGCTGCTTCCCCCGGAGAGGAGATAAGCTTCCTCCCAGCGTGTATCTAGGTCATTAGCGCCCAAAATCCAATTCTCTTGTTTTCCAGGATGCGTTACGTCGCAGCTTACCTTCTAGCGGTCCTCGGTGGCAACGAGTCTCCCACGTCAAAGGACTTGAAAAAGATCCTTGACAGCGTTGGCATCGAGACGGACGATGAACGCATGAACAAGGTGGCATTGCCTCTTAATTCCAGATGATCACGTCCCAGTCAGCATCAGACGTTGGAGCTGTTTCTTTGGCTCCAGTGTTTTCTTAGTTGCCTTGCTGTTGATCTAGTCTTAATTTGTTCAGACATTCGCTGATCATTACATGTGGGATTTCTAAAACGCTGCTTAACCAATCAGAACTACTTTGACAACGTTTTTGTAGAAGTCTGGCTTTGTTATTTAACACCTGCCCTCCACGAAGGTCTCTGTTGGTTGTTGCTGACTTCTGACTGTTCAGTCTAATAATTTTCAATGGGATGGTGGCTACAGATAAATAAGTTCTGTTCTGACATAATGTATAGTTTGCACTTAATGTTTAATTGTGGCTTTTGGTCAGTATTGAGTCAAAGCTCACACTTCTGAAGGCCTGATACTTGGTAATTCTTATTTACTGTACTGCAAAGAAGCATTTGTTCCTTCATCAAGAAACATAGGCAAATTATAACATGGACATTAAAGGTATTCAGTAATAATATGTAGGAAGATTTTTGAAATTAATGCTGAAATGGTTGTGTTGAAAAAGAGGCTTTTTAAGAAAAGAGTGTCTTAATTAGAACGTTTCTTGTGCTATAAAAACCAACCAAAAAAATGGCCTTATCACCTGGCCCATACCTGTGTGCGGAGTGTTTCTAGAGAAGTGGAGGAAAAACCAAGCTACTGTCACAACTGGGAGACAGTGTTTTGCCATAGGCCCAACCAACCAATGGGCTGACTGAGCTGACAGCATCCTTACGGCTTGGGGTGTTGGTTTGATCTCGTGATGCTCCTGTTTAAACGCCAGGTCTTTCAGCTTTGGCTTGTTTATGTTTGTTTAATACCTTCACAAAATAGTTGTTTTCTCTGATCCTCCAATATCCAGAAAGCTTCTCTGGAATTTGCTTTGGTCATGATTAATTAATCCTTTTCTATTTGCATTGGGTGTATCTTACGTCAGTGTAAATCTAGCAAAGTCTTAAAAACACCTTCCTCCCAGATGAAGCAAGCGCACAGGCACGGCATTTCACAGATTGCATGCTCTGTCTAAGCAGGACGTGCCTCTTGAAAAGCTCTTGGTTAAAGTCCTCTGGCTTTGGCGCCTCTGCAGTGTTCAGCACTGACAGCTGGTAGCAGGCACTCACCAGTAAGGTCTGTGGCCTTTTTTTTTTTTTTTTTTTTTTTTTTTTTTTTTATTAAGTGCTTGCTTGCTTTAGCAATCTTTTTTGTGTGTGTTTTGCTTTCCTCATCCATGGTTATACAACAATGGTAGTAAAATTGAAGTTGGGACGCTCTGTCCCAGTGCAAGGATACAATAGCCAGCTTGGCTGTAACATTTGGTAACGCTAGGAACAGGACCCTGTGGCTTTTGGTCTAGGGCCCAGTGCTTCAGAGCCTCCCAGTGGGTATTAAGCAAGACCCGTTAACAGTCCCTCAGTGACTAACAGACCATTAGTGGGGTTTCCTAATTGGCTCCACAACATCTGTGTATTCTTCTTTTTTGAAAGGTCCTTGGATTCATGATGAATTTATTGTAAGAGATTTCACGAAAAAGCTTTCACAGAAAAGTATGAAAGACTTAGCCGAAGTTTTCATTTCAATGTCCTGTCCCTTCCACTGAGAAATGAGGAATGTTGGGGCTGTATAAGCAGCAGGATGAAGGCATCACATGTGATGATTAATCAGTACTTGTTTAAATGTAGCTTATACTTAATGCTGTTTTGAAACTATTAACATTCTAAACTTAATTTACACAGGTTATTAGTGAGCTGAATGGAAAAAACATCGAGGATGTAATTGCTCAGGGTAAGTACAGTCTCTTGAGTGTCACAGATAATTGCCTCTCCTACTTTGGGAACTTCAACGTGAGAGTGTAGAATTGCTGCCAACTCCCTGATCATTCATCAGTTCAGCTTTGCAGTTGAGAACTTCCATGCTGGATCTCTGCTGAAATGACTGAAATCCAGGTCCATTCTAATTCCCTGCAGGTCGGTGCCAGTACCTGCCGGGTTTCGCTTGTGGACCACATTAAACTAGAGAACTTAAGCACGTATGAGCTTACTGGTAGTCTGCTCATGACATAGTTTTCTGGACATGTTGATCAGAGAAAGAATTAGCTGTCCTTCAAGTTCTCTGGGGGATTTTTTTTCTTTGCCTTTACCCACTTGTATGCACTGGTTATGTGTAACAGGAAGAACAGACTGTTAAATGTAAGTGTCAATTCACACTAAGGGTACAGTTACACTCTCTGCGATTAATACAAGCCTCCCCAGGACACAGCTCTTCTAGAGCTCCCCAAGTCTGGCATTTCCTTCTCTTTAAGGTAGGACTCCGAGTGCTGAGTTCTGTAGAAGCTTGTGCTCTTACCTGCTGGCTCTTACCAAAGCTGGAACTTTTAACATTAATTGACTGGGTCATAGGACCGAAATAAAACAGAGCTGAGGTAGTGCAAAGGTTTCTGATTAGTTAATTTCTATTTTTTTGCAAGTGCATAGGCACAAGGGAACTTTTAGGCATATATTTGCTTAAGGGTTGCCAGGACTTTGCCTGGCCTTGCTGTTAGGAGCAGTAACTGGACATTTCTATCCGTGTGGTCTGAAGACCGAAGTGAGTCATTATGCATGTGCTTACGCTATCTCTTTTTGTAATACTTTAAATAAATTGTTTCCTAGAACATACTGACATGCATATGAAACATGTTTGTTTACTTGGCTAGTTTATTAGAGCTTGAAGTAACAGGGAATTATTTAGAAACTGATTCCCAGAAATTGGAATACAGGCAAATGTACTGTGTACGCGACCTCTGAATGCCAAGGGAGCCTTGGTATGTGAAAGGCAGATGCCAGAGAACTAGCTGGCTTTCCAGAGGCGAGCATAAATCAGAAGTCAGTTTGCCAATATCAAAGGAGATGCAGTAGGGTTCATAGGGTGCTGGAGAATTTGTTTAAAATACTGTACCCTTTGCATAAATCTTTCCCCCCGCCCCCTTCTCTCCTGTAAATGTGATCCAGTCATGCCCTCACAGTTCCCTATACCCTTAAAAAGGGGGGAAAGGGGGAAGCCAATGCTGCCTATATGTTATTTTTGAGGTATATGGAAATGATCCATTTCTGGGCTATTACGCTGTATTCAGAAAACATAGTTTTCCTGTATGTGTAAAATTGGATGTGTTTGCCACTTTTTATGTGATGGTTTGGGGAAAAAAAAAAGGGGGGACTTTGTACAGAAGAAAACTTACTACTAATGTGATGTCAGCGTTCTCAGGATAAGCCGTTGTGAATCTTCAACTTTTGAGGGTTTTTTCCGCAGAATAGTTTCTACTTTCTTATCATGGGTGCAACCTATTGTTCCTTTCAGCTAAACGCTGTATTCAGAAAACATAGTTTTCCTGTATGCGTAAAATTGGATGTGTTTGCCACTAGTGACAGGTTCAGCCCATGAGATGTAGTATCTGTTTTTTCTGCACTCTCATTTCTCTTACTTTTCACCTTTGTGCTTGCCATGAGCACTTAAATACTTTCTCTTCTGTCCCACTCAGGTAACGGAAAACTTGCCAGCATGCCAGCGGGGGGAGCTGTGGCAGTCTCTGCTGGAGGGGGCTCTGCTGCTCCTGCTGCAGCTTCTGCCCCTGCTGCCGGTGAGTGTGGGTGGAGAGGCATGGTTACAGGACAGCTCCATTTTTCTCTGATAAAATCTTAACAGTTGGGTCTAAATTTTAAGGCACTTCCATTTTGGCAGTTTGCTATGTGATTGATGTGTAAAGTGAGGGATTACTTTTCCTTTGGGCAATCTGAAACATTTGCTCTTTATCCAACTTAAGACTGGCCTGGCTTAGAACCGAGAATCAAACAGACCTCACTGTGTAAAGCGCATCCCTTCAGTAGTAGTGATTGTGTCCCCTCAGTGTTTTATATATGGCTGTTGAAAGGGAATGAAATGAACCATGGAGGCTGAAATACCAATAATATGGAAGCTGAGAACACCAAAATGTGTATCTTGAAAGTCTGTGGTGCAAAAAATGTAAATACTGATCATTGGCTTGATCTTTTTTTTTTTTTCCTTCAGCTGAGGAGAAGAAAGAAGAGAAGAAGGAGGAATCTGAAGAATCTGACGATGACATGGGATTCGGCCTATTTGATTAATTATTTGTTATAGGGAAATTATTAAAATTCTTTGTTTTAAATGTTTTTTGAGATGTATTATTATAACCACGCAAGTGCTATTGGATTCAGACAGCTGTTGTTAAAATAGCTCCGTCTGAAACAAGTATGTGAATTTTATGCCAAGCCACGGGACTCTGCTCTCTTAAAGTACTTAGGAAATGGCTAAGCTTGTGCGAACCTGGATGCTTGTTTTGAGACTTCTGTTTCTTAAACAATATGTGGAAGCTGAATCTACCTGATATTAACTTAAGTTCTCCCTTCTCCATACTATTTTGCCATCCAAGTTACTCAGGAAAGTGTCCCATCTATTCAGCAATAAAAGGACTTTATTTTTCTGGATCTGTTTAATCAGTTCCAAAATGTGTGAAACTGCTTCTGGACTAATTCAGACCTGCTATCCATTCATAATTTCAGAGCTAGCTATATAATTAGTTTTTGTAAATCCCTAAAAGCACAGATTTCATCGCTGTGGCAGATTTCCAAGGTCTAGGGACAACACCAATAAAATGCTCTATGCTTGGATTTCATGCTAAATCCATATGCTTAACGTAGAATCTGTAACAAAACTGCATCCTGCTCTTCATGGGGCACTGAAATCATGGCTGTTCTGGGGGTAGCTGAACTTACCAGGACATGAGTCACCTTGATCTGAGCAAAAAGAAACTATTTTATGAGGAGAATGGTGTTTTTTGAGAACTTAAACTGATCTCTGATGTGGCCAGAAGAACCTGTCATCTTTGGAGGACAGTAAGTTTTGCTTTTATAGTGTCTTCTGCTAGGAGGTGGTTCTGGCAGGCAACTTACTCCAACTTCTACAGTGGTCTTTGGCTGTCACCGTAAGTAGGTGGAGTACAAGTAGCACATGAGATGATCTTCCTGTGCCAGATCTCCACAGGTAGTGTCAAAAAGAGGTGTCCTGCAGCAGTCTATACCGTCAAGCTTTTCCAACCGTTGTTTTGGAAGAAAAAAAGCCACTAGCTGATAGAGCTATGTTATGAGTTATTGGACAAAGCATAGCAAGTACTTCTGAGAGGAGAGATGGGTGAAATCCAAGTAGGAAACACTATTTTATCTCCCTGTGGTGTACTGAAATGAAATGCCTGTTACTCCACAGCAGCCAAGGGAGAGAGCAGTTGAAAGTTAGATCCTCAGACCTCAAGATGGCCGTGATTTAAGCAAATAACCCTTGCTGCCCTTCAATGCCTGCTGCAAGGCAGAGTTACAGGAGGTAACAGTGCCAATACCTTTAATCTACATTGTCCTTAAATCCTAGCATGGTGATCCTTGTGGTAGTAATGAAAACTGCTTGTGTTCACCTAGTTCTCTGTCTGACTCTTAATGGCTGTGGTTTGGCACTGGAAGGGCTGCAGGTATACCTGTGTTTCTTACCTTGCTGATTTCTCCATTTCAGATCACTGAAAAAGTGTTCTTTGATGTGGTTTTACTGAGAGGTAACCCCCCACCACCACCACCACCCTGCAACATTACCTTGAGTGGCTGCTGCAAAAGCAAAGTCAGTATTTTAACAGGAAGGAACTAACCCATCGCACCACTCTGCAGGTTTTTTCCAAGCACAAAGGAATTTGGTTCAGAGCCACTGAGCTATCCTGTGAGTTTTGCTTGTGGGATGAGACTGAAACCTGTGGTGCCAGCTACTGTGATGAGGGGAGGACTACAGCTACATCTGGACTAACTTCTTTCTTCCCCCTATTTTTCTCTATCTTTTCCTTATGACCTGTTAAACCTTGAGTTACGGACCTGGTCCTGTGCTGGGTGTCTTCTTACCACCTTTAAATGCCTTCCTGAAAGTGCATCGTTTTGTTGAAAACTACTGTTGCCCAATCTACTCTTAAGAACGAGGACAGCTCATTTGGTAAACTGTTTAGAGAAGAAACTTTTGGGCGCAGCTTTCAGAGGAAGTACTGAAAATAAGTTTTCATTACAAAGTTTTCATTACACTACCACAGGGAGCCAATGTATTTTACATAACCACCTTGAGGTTTTCTAAAGGGGGATTTTACGCCCCCTTCCTTGTGAAGGTTGGGGCAGGTCAACTCCAAGATTTCACATGCATTTTACAGAATTTATGAAAACCTGCACAATGAACACTTCTGAATGCAAAATTAAAGCATTTTAAGCTTTATTCCCCCATACCTATTTAAGAAACAGTTGTCACCTGATGGCTTTGTACGTGAGCGGTGATGTGCCTGGAAGTCTGTTGCAGACTTGTTTGGTGTTCTAGATGGGAGTTCACCACCCTGTTCTGCTCATCTCATTGAGCTTCAGTTATGAAGGGGTTGGGATCCCTGCTCTGTGGACGCTGTTCTGAATCTTCAAGTGTCACTGATACAATGATTTCCAAAGGCAAGGGTAGCAGTGGGGTAGATGTGTTGTATTCCATGATGCTCTCAGAGAAAACTAGTGCCTGCAAACACTTGGATGGTGGCCTAGTCTGTCCCCTTGCAGAATCAATTTTAGCTAGAACAGATTTTTCCTGACTTCTTTGTAAAGAAAGGCTCAACGGCATTGAAGGGAAAGGAAAGGATAGCCTTGTGCCTGGAGATTACACTGGTAACCGATCATTACTAAATTAACAATAGGGGAGAGTGATTTAGTCATAGGCCTGACATTCAAACACGCAAGCTTTCCTCACGGGAGCGCAAATGCTGCGCCATCTCAAATTAGCTCTCACTGAAAATTGTTCCTTACAAACACCATGGGGCAGGGAGAGTGATATGACATCTTCACTACTTGGAAAGGAGGGAGGGTGCCTTGGACACTGCTGGAAAGTAATAAGTGATGGCTCCCTGGGGCCACTGTCAAATTAACTGGTTTCACTCTTACTACTAAGGCCCAATTTTGCAAGCTGGTAGGGCAGAGATAGCTGTAGTAGCTTTCCTAGAAGGAAAATTCAGTCCCAAGAGAGCAGGACAAGGGGACTGCTCCATTGCCTCAGGAGATGCTCCTATGAAGCAGATCCCAAGTGTTTGCTGTGGAATTGTCTGATATATGCAAACATCACAGGTAAGAAAAAGACATCTAAGTCAGGCTTTCCAGTGATGTTAACAGCACTTAGGTTGTGCTGCATGACCAGTGCCCCAGTCTTACTGACTGCTGGCAACAACACTAAAGTAACGTGCTGAAAACAACAGTATAACAGCTCCCCTTTAAAATTAAATCCCATTGGCTGCCAACAACCAAGGTCTTACCTGAAAAAAGCAGAGCTGCTTTGCCTGTACGTTATTATCTCATATGTAGTAACTGCTCGCCATTCATTAGACTAGAAAACAAACAACAACAGAGATTGCATGAGAAGCTGTCTCAGTGGCATCACAATGCCTAAGGGCACAAGTGATCTTGCAGTGTTCTGATAGAAGTTTGATACACGTGAAAGGCTGCCATGTAAATCTTGCTGACCTGGCTTATTGCAGGATTATGGCAGTACTTTCTAACTGAGGAGAAAGAGATTAGGTTTGGGGGACAATGTGTTTTTGAGAAAAACACTGTTGTTTGCCAGCACCCAGGCAGCACTCTGCAAGAGATTACTGTTCACATGGTTTATTTCATTAACCAGTTTCAACAGGGCAGCATTAACTTCCTCAAATAGGTAACCTTGAGGGCCTAGACAGAGTGGTGTAAACAACTCAGGATGAGATTGGTGTTGAGAAATCAAGTGAAACTAATTCCAGCATTGTCACAGTATTTTTGTTTCTGTTTTCCAGACAAAGCAGGAACCTTAAGGTTTGTGAAATGCTAAAAAAAAAAGAGAAAGCAGCATCGTCTCAAGAACAAAGCTGTTCTTGTGGTTTACAAGTGTTAGGAAGGTATCTGCAAACAAGGTTCATTATTCAGTTTTGCCACAGATTTCTGCTGAAGTCACAGCCCGTGAACTAGTTCTTCTGCAGCACAATCCCTGTTTTGGAAAACATAAGACACAATGTTTTCTTTGGATTTGGCTACATGGAAATACCTTTCCGCACCACCAGAAAAGCATGGGATGAAAGCACTACAATTGTCTTGGTGTTAAGGGCCTTTAAGAGGGTCAAGACTCAGGTGTGCCAATGCTCACCTCTTCAGGTGGAGGAGATGAGGGCTGACACGGGTTATGTAACCATGTCAAACACAAGGGAGGAGGGAAATTACAAAAACAAGCAGAGGTATGAGAGGGAGAAGGGTGGGTATAGGGTATAAACAGAGGGCTTGAGGTAAGTGGGGTTAGTTCTTTAGGTGCTCCAGGATGGAGCTAGTATGTATCAAGGGTACTTCTTGGCAGCTAGGTGAGGTGGTAGGCTCCAGGGTAGGACCTGGAAGAAAGGTGAGCCTGGACTCCTGCTTGTCTGATGGAAGGAAAGCACAAATGTTTAATGAAAAAGCACTGTAGAGGCTGGAGTATGAGGCCTACCTTGAGCTCAAATACTGGGTTTATACACGGGTTACCTGCTGAGTTTGGTTGCTTCAGTCAGCTGACTGTGAGGCAGTAGACAGCTGATCTTACAACCCAGATGGCCCTCTATGGGCAGGGAGCCAGCCTCCCTGTTACCCTTTAGATGGGACATTTGGAGGGGAAGGAACAGGAGAGGGGCTACTTGGTTCATCTCCACTAACACAGCTGGTGAAATTCCTGTGGGGAGGAAGGCCTAGCTTTGGTCTGAGAGCTGTTAAGGACAGGTATAACAGTGTCCCAAATGAGAAAATTCTGACCAGTTATAAGAAAACTAATGCAAATAGATTTATGCTAAGATGAATTAAGTTTGTTTGGTTGTTTTTTTAAAAACTTTGGTAGAAAGTGCTTTTGCCCCATATTGATTCTATTACAAAAACTACTTGTGGTTTTTGCTTTGTAGGCCCCAAACCTCCCTTCTGATCTTCCTTCCTTGCTTTGGAGTTGGGCATCTGCTTCTCTTGCTATGCTGATCCTCTCAATGTCCCTGTAACCTTTCACATATATCTAATTGTTTGAATGACTATTGTCTGTATTGTTTATGACAAGGGGATATTTCCAGCTTCTGAAATCTGTTTTGATCTCCTAATAGCACTGGCCTCTTACCTAGTGCTGCTCTGTGGCACCATGGGCTTGCTGGAACTAAGAGCTTGTGCAGGAGCACTACTGAAAATTGGAGCTGCCCTGACCAAAAGTAAGCATTTTGGTGGGCTTAGAGGCACGTGGAGAAAATTGTTAAGGTTAGCAAAGGTAAGCAACTGTGTGTGTCTTGATGAGGCAGAGAAAGCTGTTAAGAGAAAGGGTTTGCCTTTCTGCTTTGTGTTCAGTTTTGGGCCCCTCACCACAGGAAAGACGTTGCGTTGC